GTCAATGAAATTGCAAATATCGAACTTAAGCTGAAGGAATCTTATAAGAGACAAGAATCACAGGAAGAACTAAAAGCCATAAAGGAAATTAAAAAAAAAAAAAATTCTTCTCTTATGCCAAATCTAAGGGAAAAACAACATCCAGTATTGGGCCCCTGCTTAGGCGGGATGGGACATACACAGATGATAGCCAAGAAATGAGTGAGATACTAAAGTTCCAATATGACTCAGTGTTCAACGATCCACTGCCCACTCTAAGGGTCGACAATCCAAATGAATTCTTTATGAATGAAACCCAAAATTTGGTCATCCCAAAACTCTCGGATATTATTATAACTCCACAAGATTTTGAAGAGGCAATTAATGGACATACCCATGCACTCTGCCCCAGGCCCAGACTCGTGGAACTCCATGTTCGTCAAGAACTGCAAGAAGTCCCTATCGCGTGCCTTCAGCATTTTATGGAGAGGGAGCATGGACACTGGGGTCATCCCACACACACTAAAAACAACAGACACAGCCCCACTCCACAAAGGTGGCAGTAAAGCAATTGCAAAGAACTACAGACCGATAACACTAACATCCCATATAAAAATCTTTGTGAGGTTCTAAGAACAAGATAGCCAACCACCTAGATACCCATCAGTTACACAAACCAGGACAATAAGGGTTTAGAGCAGGTCGCTCCTGCCTGTCCTAGCTACTGGACCACTATGACAAGGTCCTGGATGCTGTAGAGGATGAACAAAATACAGATGTAATATACACAGACTTTGCAAAAGCTTTCAACAAGTGTGACCATGGTGTAATAGCACACAAAATGCGGGATAAAGGAATAACGGGAAAAGTTGGTAGATGGATCTACAACTTCCTGACAAATAGAACACAAAGAGTAATAGTAAACAGAGTAAAGTTCCAGGCAACCATGGTAAAAAGCTCTGTTCCACAAGGCACAGTACTCACTCCCATTCTATTCCTTATCCTCATTTCTGACATAGACAGAGATGTAAGCCATAGCTCCATGTCTTCCTTTGCAGATGACACCTGGATCACCATGGCAGTGACCTCCATCGAAAACACTGCGAGACTCCAAGCGGACATCAACTAAATCTTCAAATGGGCCACTCTAAACAATATGAAGTTCAACGAGGAGAAATTTAAACTACTCAGATATGGAAAACTTGAAGAAATTAAAAATGTGTCAGGGTATACCACAAATTCTAACCATACAATAGAGCGGAAAGGTAATGTGAAGGACCTGGGAGTGATAATGTCAGCGGATCTCGCCTTCAAAGACCACAACAATGTATCTACCTCATCCGCTAGGAAAATAATAGGTTGGATAATGAGATCCTTCAAAACTAGGGGCGCCAAGCCGATGATGATTCTCTTCAAATCGCTTGTGCTCTCTAGGCTGGAATACTGCTGTACACTAACGGCCCCCTTCAAGGCTGGCGACATTGCAGACCTGGAGAGTGTACAGAGAACTTTCACAGCACACATAAGTGCAATAAGGCACCTAAACTACTGGGAATGGTTGATGGTCCTTGATCTGTACTCCCTCGAATGCAGGCGAGAGAGATACATGATAATATACACTTGGAAGGTCCTGGAAGGATTGGCACCAAACCTACACATGAAAATCACTCCGTATGAAAGCAAAAGACTCGGCAGGGGATGCAACATTCCCCCGATGAAAAGCAGGGGTGCCACGAGCACACTGAGAGACAACACAATAAGTGTCCAGAGCCCAAGACTGTTCAATTGCCTCCCAGCATACATAAGGGAGATTACCAATAGACCCCTGGCTGCCTTCAAGAAGGCACTGGACAGGCACCTAAAGTCAGTATGTACCTGAACAGCCGGGCTGTGGTTTGTACATCAGCTTGCTTGCAGCCAGCAGTAACAGCCTGGTTGATCAGACCCTGATCCAACACGAGGCCTGGTCTCAGACCGGGCCACGGGGACGTTGACCACGAAACCCTCTCCAGGTAAACTCCAGGGAGGAAATCAGGTTTGATCTGAGGAAGGGTAGGGTAGCTCCAATTCCTTGGATCAAGAATCTTTTACCTGCATCAAGGTACCATCCCTGGAAGGGTTATGATGCGAATTTAAAGTACGTACAGTAAACCCTCATATACTGCAGGGGTTAGTCCTGAAAAACCAGCATCAAATGTAAAATCACATTACATGAGGTGAAGAACATGAAGAATAAATAAAGTTATGTTCAGTGATTATGTGTGAGTGAAGTGAAAGTGTTGAATGATGATGAAAGTATTTTCTTTTTCGGGATTTTCTTTCTTTTTGGGTCACCCTGCCTTGGTGGGAGACGGCCTACTTGTTAAAAAAAAAAAAAGTTCCAGACAACTCTAAATTCTCAACAATAATTTTTTTCACTATTATATAGTGCTAGGTAGAAATCACTACCAAATAATTTACCTTACAGTTTGGTAATGATTACTTCTTGAATGTGAAGAATGTTAAGAGGGACTGATGTGGTAAAGCTGAGTTGAGGTAAATGGTTGTGGCTCTTGTGTTGATATGGATGTATATCTGTCGGTATTATATACCATTTTCATATCTGTCAGCAGCTGATAGTTGTACTGGAGTGCTCAAGTATTCTATAATACATCTCCAGTGTGTTTTACCATGCAGTATTTTGCAGAGTTGAAGATAAACCATCATCAGTTGCTCCACAACAATGCTCAGACTTATCATATCTGCAACTTGACCAAAAACATGGACTTGCTCATGCAACTTCTGCATCCTCATCTTTTATCTACTCACTTTCCTGGGAATTAAGCTTCACTAGTAATTCTTCTGCAGTTGGTTCTCCATCCTCCTCCTAAAACAGTACCTTTATGTATTGTTCATGCATATCAAAGAGAGAGAGGTGGAGAAATTATTCACCACAAGCCATCAATGACCCCAGCCTGCATGCCACCTCCGCAAGTATAAGTGCAACTACCCTGTTAAATTTGTGCCAAAACTCTCATAAATTTGTCTCAAAGCCATCATCCACTGCTACAATGAATTTTCCACTAATCTGCATTTATTGAGTCATTATAATAACTCCTTAACCCAGTGGTTATATCAAAGAGGCACTGTATGACCCTTGTGGGTTTAGCTTTTGGTTTTGAATGTAATAATAATAATAATATCAAAGAGGTTATATTGGATGGTAAAACCACAATGACATTTGGATCCAGGGCTGTAAGATCTCAGAATGTCTCCAAATAACTATCAAGAATCAGGAAAACCTTGAACACAAAGGTTTATCTGGCCAAGTAAACCATCACTGCAGGAATGAAGCAGTTTCAACCATTCAACAAACCAGGCATCAGTCATCCATGCTAATCCTTATTAAAGTGCCAAATAATGGGTAAGTAGGTTCTGTCTTTACCTTATAATGGCCTACGTACATGAAAAATAAACATAGGTTTGTATTGGAAATCTGTTGCAATGGCACACACAAGCTGAAATGATCCTTTTATGCTGTGAAACTAAGTGCATAACTTACTTGTTTCCTTGCACAAAGTCATCTACATGATTGGCTGATATACTCTCATTGGAAAATGTAATGTTAGGAAGACAACCGAGCTTTTAAAACTTTCAAATCAACCAGAATTAAGCACATACTATTGTGAAGGCTCTCCTTCCTTCTTCTCAAACAGTTTTATAGTATGATACAAATTAACACCCTATTATCTGAGCAGTAAGCAGGGCCCTTTTCTTCATTTTTCTCAATTCATGCATTCAGTAACATTTCAGTCTTATTTAGCTCTACTGACCTCTTTGATTCTTCTTCAGCAGTTAAAAATCTGTACCACTTGAACAACCTCAAATACATGAATGGTCAGTTCATTAAAATAAAAAACATGGGCAATTTCAATCACACATGTTCCACCTCTAAGCATATCTAAAACTTTCACTTTCTTCAATGAAATCACAGATTCGTTCTTATTCTTGACAACAAGAGTAAATAGTACTTCTCCTGGATGCCATGTTTTATAACTGGAAGCAAGATGAGGTGATGTAAATATCCAAAATCAATTATTTAATGGACATAAAGAGTGAGGCACAAGACATTCTCAAAAAGCAACTGTAGACACCATCAAAGGGAGAAAGCAATTGCATCCGAGGGAAAAAATTCTACATAATATAGTAGCTGGATTTCCATCACATACTATCAATATTTCCAGGGTAGCCATGATGGCCAAGATAATCAAGGACATTTTGATGACATGTGAGGATAAATCAAGGTCACAGACAATAATGCCATACCTCTCATATCATAGACTATGCCAACCAAACAATATTCTTTTATGTGTGCCTAATGATGAAAGTAATAAAAAAACTGAAATCTAATATTAACCAAATTGTGTACAAATCTGGCCCATTGGTAAGGTAAAACATGAAACTGAGCAAATTACATAATTTTCTTAGTAGATTAAAAATTTTCCCTAACAAGATTATTATTATTATAATCAAAAAGAAGCGCTAAGCCACAAGGGCTATACAGCGCTTCTTCCCTAACAAGAGCGTATTGAACAAAGACCTACACTATGCAGATTACTAAATTAGCTAATTTACTTTCTCTGGGTGATAGTGATCAAATTATTTATAACCGAATGATAAGAGAAAGGAAAAATTATTGCAAAGTGAATTATAATGAATAGTACTTAAGTACAGATGTGTGGGTCTTGTTAATTCAAACTTAACATACAAGAATATAATGTATTTTTTATTACTAGTCTTTCATACAAAGGAAACACCCAATTTTAAACATGGATAGGGTGGAGTTTGAGCCCAAGGTAAGTCAGTTTTAAAACTAGCAGGCCAGTGCACACTGGCCTACTGGCTTTAGGACTGGCTCACCATGAGGTCAAATCCCACTCGTTCCATGATTTCTTTGCAATCATGTTCTATGACTTTATGAATCCTATTTTCCTTCAAGCTGTAGACACTAATAAACAGAAAATAATTTAAATGTTTGTTACCTGATTCTGACTTAGACTGTGGTATGGAATAAAAGTGCACACCATCTGCTCCTGAGGTTACCACACCCGATGCCACGTACACCATCTACAAAGCCAAAAGAAAGGAAGGAAACTACATATTAATAACACTACAGGAAAAGTTTACAATGACATTGTTCAATTAAGAAGAAAAGTATCATTTAGCACTGTCATTGGCAAACTGAGTTAGCAAATACTTGTACAAAGTACAGTTACATTAAAACTGAGTGAAAATATATTTCTTTCATTTTTCCATAATTTTCCCATAAGTTCTCTTGAACTTATGGGAAAATTTCTGCTGTTACAGAAAGCTCCTGTTCCTGGCTAGGAAAGACTTCTGTTTCCAACTTGTGAAAACATGCCTACCATCCAGTTACAAAAGGAGACCTTGCTTTGTCATCTACCATTTTAGGATTTTCCATCTAACATTCCAGGGTTATCCATAAGAGATAGCCCCCATATCCATCTAACATTCCAGGGGTTATCCATAAGAGATATCCCCCATACCCATCTAACATTCTAGGGCTACCCAAAAATGTTTAATTTCTACCATAAAAAATATACAGTATCTCTCTATTTACATGAAATATTCCTTACCTTCTTTGTCATACTTTCAGTGTAACCAGCTGCCAGTAAACTGAAGTCTCGATTTTTGACCAGGCCTGCATCTTTCTTTGTAACCAATTTATCTGGAAAACCCAGCTCCCATACCTCATGGTGCTGTTCTGAAATATATATACAAACAAGAAAAAATACCTTTCAGGAGCACAGACACTAATTATATCCTTTCATACATTGTTGTATTCACGGAGGAACCCCACAGGGACCTCTCTCTTTCAATGCAGATAATGAAAATACCATCATAATATGACTAATGAATATTACTACAACTGAGAAAGTTCAACATTACAGTATTATGATTTTTGTATACACCCTTTTGTTCCAGAACAGTATATAAATACTCACAAAGAAATTATACCTACTGTGTTGGTTACTAAAACTCTAAATACATTACAGTATTGCTGTTAATTTCAAGTTTGTTACCACAGTTTTCACAAAAATAGTCAAAAGAACTAAAAATTTGAACAGTGAATATTTTATAGTATGTATTTTTTTTAACTAAATAGAGTATAGGTTGGTCAACCTGGTAAGTTATTATTGGTAAAAATTAAAAAGCACATGGTAAATGTCTTTTAAGTACTGATGTAGAAGCTTACAAAGGGAGGGAATTGAAATAAAAGTACAGAACTTCTACTGTGTTTCAATCAGAAAGGAGAGGATGTGTTCAGGAATCTTATGGCTCCCATATCCAGACACTGTATTAATGGAACACACTGTCTGACTATATTATGACATTTTAGTCATCACTACAACTGCATGCAACTGAAAAGGCAAAATATCTTAGGGTATTTATTGGGTAAATTTGCTTTTGGCTTTGATGGAACAACCATTTATGATCCTAACTTAAATGAAAAAAATTAAGTTAGAATATGACATAGCTCATAGGAATCAGTAGGTCTGCCACAGAGCTCTTCTGGTTTTATGTAATTTACATAAGCTTTACTTTCTTTTTAACATGCTGGCCGTCATACACCGAGGCTGAGTGACCCAAAAAAGAAACACCATCATTCATACTATCACTGTTTTGCCAGAGGCATGCAGATACAATTTAGATGCCATTCTAAACAGCAAGTATCCCTACCCCCCTCCTTTAGAGTGCAGGCACTGTACTTCCCACATACAGGACTCAAGTTTTATTTAAGATTTGGGTTCATTTAGTGTTTCAACAATTGTATCTTTGTAATGTATCATTCTTAATTTAGTTAATGCTGATGTCCAGGAGAAAAAATGACCAGAAATAAGTGATATTACTAAGTGGAAAAGCTCATTGAGCACAATTTTAATCAAATCTTATGGTTAGTTTTCAATATAGGGGTTATAATTACCTATCTTTATTAACCATTTTCTAGCTACAGGAGGAAAACTATGCTCATGGTATTTCATATTCAATAACTTGTTTACTAATTTGTGTGACAAGCCTGAAAAAATATAGGTACTGTCAGAGGAAAATCAAATCTATTTGCAGATTCCTCAATAAAATGTTGAATAAATGAAATTCACAAATTTAAAAGGATACCTTGGAGGTGGTGTTATTGAGATGGTTTGAACATGTAGAGAAGATGCAACAAAATAGAATAACTTCGAGAGTGTATAAATCTGTAATGGAGGGAAGGCAGGGTAGGGGTCGACCTAGGAAAGGTTGGAGGGAGGAGGTAAAGGAGAGTTTGTGTGCAAGGAGCTTGGACTTCCCACAAGCGTGCATGAGCATGTTAGATAGGAGCAAATGGAGACAAATGGCTTTTAGGACTTGACGTGCTGTTGGAGTGTAAGCAAGGTAACTTGTAGCCATGTATAAACGTAAGTAAGTAAATTTACTTACTTACATGATTCATTACCTTTGTAACTTGTGAGTTCATTACCTTTGTACCTTGTTCAACTATTAAAGCTTTGGTTCCCAGTCCCTGAACCCATTATGTACCTCTGTAATCTGTAAATACCTTTGTAACTTGTCATGATTGTGACCATATCTACCTGGAGTTCATTACCTTTGTCACTTGTTCAGCTATCAAAACTTTGGGGCCCAGTCCCTGGACCTATAATGTACCTCTGTAATCTTTTGATTACTGCCCACAGGATTGGTTTGGGGTGCATAATAAACACATTAAAAAAAGCAAGGTAACATTTATGAAGGGATTCAACAAAACCGGCAGGCCGGACGTGATTCCTGGAGATGGGAAGTACAGTGCCGGCACTCTGAAGGAGGGGTGTTAATGTTGCAGTTTTATAACTGTAGTGTAAGCATGCCTCTGGCAAGTGATGGAGTGAATGATGATGAAAGTTTTTCTTTTTTGAGCCACCCTGCCTTGGTGGGAAACGGCCAATGTGTTAATAAAAAAAAATAATATAAAACCTTTGGTACATTTGATGAGTTCCAAGAGCTTTTCCACTCCCCGAGTCTGACCTAGGGCCAGACTCTGGAATGTGTGTGAGCAAAACAAAAAAAATACAAGTGTACGAAACACAAAGAGAATAATGAAAAGAAAACAGAAAAGAAAAAAAAAAAAGAGAGAAACAGGGTGAGGAGGAATAAAAGGTTTTATGAAGTAGTATATATAACAGTTAAATTATAAACTGAAGCATCTTACTATCTATATAAAAGTAAAAAATAAACAAAAAGACAAGAAAGAAAAATTAAAATAAGAACATAACTGGCAAGCTTAACAGTAACTGGGTAAACATTAGGTAGAATTAGGTTACTTAAAAGTATCATGAGGTTCAATATAGTATAACTTTTACATTAAAACTATTAACAACAAATTACATTTTAAATGTACATATTCAACAGCTCAAATACAATAACACTTAGCTAAACACAGTGCTTTTTTTAAATGATTGTAATTTATGAACTTTGCACGCTTTTTTTGTCTCAGGCCTTTTATATACAAAGATTTTTAATAAATATTCAGTTACGCACGAGGAGTATGGCTATCGTTTTGTTGTTTCTCAGAGATAAGACCTACTCTATACTTTTCGTAAGTCATGGTACTTGTCTAGATTGTTCTCAAGAAAAGAACACTAATTTGTTTTCAGGGGCCAGAGTTTATTGTGGGTGTGTCGTCTAATGCTGAGGCATGGGACTTTATATGCTGTTGAAGGTTATACTTATGGATGCAGGAAAATGTTCTACATATTATCTTCTGTATGTACTTCATATATGATACAGTAAACCTTAAATATAACAAACTAATAGGGGGAGCAAGTGGCCAGTAATGATAATTGTGGTGGAGAGTGAAGAGATTGCTTTCCTGTCATAGTGACAATATTGAACAATCCTGTAACCAACAGGATTGACACAGTGAATTTTTACCTGTACATTTCCAAAGTCTGTTATAAAGAGGTTCATTATATCAAACATTTACTGTACTTGTCTACATTCATTTTTATTAATAGTTATGGATGACCACAAGAAACCTTTACCCCTCACCTCTAGAAACTGCCAAAAGCAATCTGCTGTCATCACAGAAGGCTGCAGAGCAAATAAACCCATGTACATCGTATATTAGCAAGTCTTCGTATCTGTAACATACACATGTTGATAGGTGCAAGTCAGAAAATTTTAAATTTCTGAATAAACCATTTAAATAAGATGACATATGAAATACTATCAGCCTGAATAAATTTTATGGGTATATACTGTAGGTAAAGGATGTCTGGAAAACAAAATGGATGCTTTGAATGCTTATAAATACGGATGGGAAAGCGAATATGCCAAAGAGTGGCAGTAATAATGATTGATGATGAGGAATAGAGAATTATGGGGGATTAGGATGAGGATAATAAATATGAGGTTGATAATAATATAAGTGGAGCATAAAGTGAATAGGAGGAATTGTTAACAACAAATGGAGCAGTAGATAGATGAAAAAAAGATTAATTAAGGTTCACATACTGCTAGGTAAATACAGGCAGCAGGTACTTATAAGGAGTCTTGTTTCAATGTCCTGTATTACTCAGGATTATATTGGGTCCAGTTTTAAGTAACATACTATGTTAAACCATTGTCAGATGGTAAAATTATGTATAAAGCCTAAATAGACCCTTACTTAACCTAGATCTTTTTCACTGAGGTGCACACTCACTCCTGTACACTAGTGAGTAACCTGCTTATCACAAGCATTGTAGAAATTTAACAGCAGTCTTCAGAAGCATACAGTGGAACCTCAGTTTTCGTATGCCCCAGTTTTCGTAGGATTCGGGTTTCAATGACTTTCTTTGACTAAATTTTGTCCCATTTTTCTACAACCGCTCGGTTTTTGTAGAGTTGAAAATGGTCCGTCCCAAATGCGTCCGCGTGACTCAGCCACTCGAGCGCCCACAAAAAAGATTCCCATGCTTTCGTGACTCAGTTTTCCATTGTTTCTCGTTGAGTAAGCCTCATCCAATGCATTCATCCAAAACATTTCATAATAATCCATTGTTTTTTGTGCTTGTTTCTTGAGTGCGACTACTCCACCAAGCCACCACAGGGCCAAAGAAAGTCCTGAGTGCCAGCCCTTTGATAAAGAAGGCGAGAAACATGATAGAATTCAAGAAAGAACAGCAGGGCTGTGGCTCGTACATTGGATTGCGTGCAGCCAGCAGTAACAGCCTGGTTGATCAGGCTCTGATCCACCAGGAGGCCTGGTCACAGACCGGGCCATGGGGGCGTTGACCCCTGGAACTCTCTCCAGGTAAACTCCAGGTAAAGTACGAAAGTGGTATACGCATGGCCGATCTCGCCAGGATGTACGGGAAGTCTGCATCAATGATCAGTTCCATCCTGGTGAATAAAAAAGATATCAAGAAAGCTGATGTTGGAAAAGGGGTATATGTGCTAACAAAACAGATCACAAACAATCGAAGATGTTGAGAAGTAATAATTTCATAATAATTCATTGTTTCTTGTACTTGTTTATTCTGTGTGACTGCTAAATAAGCCACCATGGGCCCAAACAAAACTGCTAATGCCAGTCCTTTGGTAAAGAAGGTGAGAAACACGATAGAATTAAAGAAAAAGTTTGTAGAAAAATACGAAAGTGGTGGTGGTAAAGGGTGGTAGTGATTGTGATGGTGGTAGAGGGTTGTGGTGATGGAGGTAGAGGGTGGTAGTGATGGTGGTAGAGGGTGGTAGTGGTTGTGATGGTGGTAGAGGGTTGTGGTGATGGAGGTAGAGGGTGGTAGTGAGGTGGTAGAGGGTGGTAGTGATGGTGGTAGAGGGTGGTAGTGATGGTGATAGAGGGTGGTAGTGATGGTGATAGAGGGTGGTAGTGGTAGTAATGGTAGAGGGTGGTAGTGGTTGTGATGGGGTAGAGGGTGGTATGATGGTGGTAGTGGTGTGATGGTAGTAGAGGGTGGTAGTGATGGTGGTAGTGGTTGTGATGGTGGTAGTGGTTTTTGATGGTGGTAGTGGTTGTGATGGCGGTAAAGGGGGTAGTATTTTGTGATGGTGGTAGAGGGTGGTAGTGGTTGGATGGTGGTCGAGGTGGTAGTGGTTATGGTGGTAGAGGGGGGAAAGTGGTTTATGGTGGAGAGGGTGGTAGTGGTTAGGGTGGTAGAGGGTGGTAGGGGTTTATGGTGGTAGAGGTGGTAGTGGTTATGGTGGTAGAGGTGGTAGTGGTTATGGTGGTAGGGGGTGGTAGGGTTATGGTGTGAGAGGGTGGTAGTGGTTATGGTGGTAGAGGAGGGTAGTGGTTAGGTGGTAGAGGGTGGTAGTGATGGTGGTAGAGGGTGTAAGTGATGGTGGTAGAGGGTGGTAGTGATGGTGGTAGAGGGTGGTTGTGATGGTGGTAGAGGGTGGTAGCAGTTGTGATGGTGGTAGAGGGTGGTAGCAGTTGTGATGGTGGTAGAGGTTGTGATGGTGGTAGAGGGTGGTAGTGGTTGTGATGGTGGTAGTGATTGTGGTAGAGGGTAGAGCTGCAAGAGCTCTCCTCCTCCCATCTTCTATACACCAACGAGAGTCTTCAATAAAGGTAAGTGTCATGTTATTATTTTTTCTACTTGATTTCTCATTCTTTTCTGTATGTAAATCTATATTAATGTATAAAAAATTATTTTTTGTTAATGCTTTTGGGTAACTGGAACAGATTAATTGGATTTACATTATTTCTTATGGGGAAAATGGTTTCAGTTTTCACCGATTTCACATTTCATCAGACTCTCTGGAATGAATTAAAGACGAAAAGGTTGGGTTCACTGTATAATCAATATATGTATGCATATAGAGTATGTATGTGTATGTGTGTGTGTAGGGGTCACACAGCACCATCAAGAATTGGAAGTTTCGTTCAATGAAGGGGAGGATAAATCTAATTCTTCAGATCAGGGGCTCATCCTACCAGCATCAAGCCACCTTCCAAGATGGAAGTACAGTGTTGTATGTCTATACTGACTAAATACAATAACACAATTGTGAATACAGTACCTCTATGTGACATTGAGCTTATAACACAAATGTGAATACCTCCCTATGACACCAAGCTTAAGAAGTAAGCAGAAGGATTATACTAAAAAAACTTGCATGTAGAGGAATAATTATTATTACTACCCTCAAAAACATGTGCTAAACCTGTATGATCTTGTAAGGTTAAGTAAGTTTATTTAGGTACAGGTACACAAATACAGTTACACAGATTATCACATGTAGTAACATACATGTAAATTACCTAGGAAAACCCAAAAAATAAGGAGTTATTAACCCCCAATGGAAATAAGTCATTTTTATCTGACTTTTTTGTGTTATCCTAGGTAATTTACACTATGTATGATAACTGTACTTACATGTGCCTGTGCCTAAATAAATTTACTTACTTAACCCATAAGGGTTAGTAACCGAAGAGAGCCAGCCCATGTGACTTACAACAGTCTTCTAACACCCAGGTACCTATTGTTTCTAGGTGAACTAGAGCAACTTGTCCCATAGTTCAACTGGTGGCACACTCAGCTCACACACTGAGTGTCCATGGTTTGATCCCCGGTACTAATGGAAACATTGAGGCATGTTTCCTTAAGACATCTGCTGTCACTGTTCACCTAGCATGAAGTACCTGGGTGTCAGATGACTGGTGAGGATCATGCCCTGGGAACAAAATTAACTTAAGTTGCCCAAAATGCTCTGCATAACCAGGAGCTTTCTATATAGTATGTCGTTGAATAAGGTGTTTGTGTAAATTGTATCATGTACTTGTAGAAATAAAGATATTATTATTATTATTATTATTATTATTATTATTATTATTATTAGCTGGTGGCCCATGGCCTGATACATGTGGCCTGTGGCTTGGTAGGCAAAGCTCTCACTTCACACGCTGAGTGTTCATGGCTCATTCCTCAGCAAGGGTAGAAACATTAGGTGTTTCCTTACACCTGTTGTCCCATTCCCCTAGCAAGTAAATAATGAAGTTGATTCAGGTATACACAAATACAGTTACATAGATTATCATTCATAGCAGCATATGTGTAGACAGCCTAGGATAACCCAAAAAAATCAGACAGAGTGACTTATTAACATTGGGGTCCTGGGTGTCTGACTGGTGTAGGTTGCATCCTGGGGGAACAAGATTTGAGTGCACTAATGGATATAAGACAGACAGTCCCTTGATGACACTGCCTTTCTTGGGTTATCCTCAGTGGCTAACCCTCCAGGGTTAAAAATTACAACAAAATCTTATCTTATCTCTTATTTGTCTATGGAAACGTGCCACCTCTCCATGGATTGCAACCAGGTTCTGCAACTGAGCTCAAGGCTCTAGTACAAGAGCAAATTCAGGCAATATATATAATTCTGTAATTATATTATTTTGCTTCTCAAAGTAATATTAATAGTATAATGTTTCCTTACAAACAATATACTTTACCTTCTAACCGAGTCAAAGAACCATTCATCGTCTGATTCCTCACAATCAGAGAGGCTGTCATGCCTCTCCATGCTCTTCTGATGTTCCTCTTCTTCGAGATGCCAGCAGCTTATAGGTTCACTTCTGATGACTACATGCACGAGTTCTTCAGGAGCTGTAAGAACGTAACTTTATTTAGGCACAGGTACATAGAAGCACAATTATAATATAAGGTATTAAAAGGACCCCAATGGAAAAAAAGTCACTGTCTGACTTTTTTGGGTTATCCTAGGTTCTCTACACATATGCTGCTATGTATGATAATCTATGTAGCTGTATTAAGATAAGATAAGATTTCGTTCGGATTTTTAACCCCGGAGGGTTAGCCACCCAGGATAACCCAAGAAAGTCAGTGCGTCATCGAGGACTGTCTAACTTATTTCCATTGGGGTCCTTAATCTTGTCCCCCAGGATGCGACCCACACCAGTCGACTAACACCCAGGTACCTATTTGCTGCTAGGTGAACAGGACAACAGGTGTAAGGAAACGTGTCGAAATGTTTCCACCCGCCGGGAATCGAACCCGGGCCCTCCGTGTGTGAAGCGGGAGCTTTAGCCACCAGGCTAATTAACAAGGATAATCCAAAAAAAAAAGTCGAAGTGACATTTCCATTGGGGTCCTTGTCCCTGCAACCACATACAGGTGAGCAGGTGAGGATACCTGTAATTTAAAAGGTATGTAAGTTTATTTAGTCAAATAAGTACAATTATCATATATAGCTTAAATTAGCTAGGATAATCTCCCCTCCCAACCCCCCCCCCACCCAAATAAGTCAGACAGAACTCTTCTTCATATTACGTGCAGTTTGCTGAGAATACTGAATTACAGAAAATGTCTACCTGAATGAGGACTAACAAACTTACTCTCAACATTGACAAAACCTATTTCATTCAGTTTGGTAACAGAGCTACAGATGTCCCTCTTAACATAATGATAAACGGATCACCTATCACAAAGTTCACATAGGGAAAATTTTTATGAATCCACCTTGATAACAGACTCAAATTTGAAACATGTTCAACAAATTTCCAAGAAAATTTCCAAGACCGTAGGCATACTATCGAGGTTACGGTACTATGTTCCACAGTCAGCCCTCCTGGCCCTATATCACTCACTTATTTACCCCTATCTCACCTATGGAATTTGTGCATGAGGCTCAACAACAATAAACCATCTCAGACCATTAATTACCCAACAAAAGGCTGCAGTTAGAATGATAACAAATTCGCACTACAGGCAGCACACTCCACCAATATTCAAAACTCTAAATTTACTCACTGTACAAAACATCCATACTTATTATTGTACCTACTACATACATAGAACACTAAACTCAGATATAAAACCTCCCCTCAAACTTCTCCTTGCCAACCTCAACAGAACACATGACCATAACACAAGGCACAGATCACTCTGATGTTCCTCGAGTCCATCTCACACTATGTAAAAAAACAATGCACATAAAAGGCCCAAAAGTCTGGAATTCATTACCTATGAATATAAAAGAAACAATGTCGGTTTATAAATTCAAGTATCTTCTTAAAAATCACTTACTCAACCACAACTAAATAAATACTGAATAATTGTATCTCATAAATGTTTAACCTGTGACCCAATGAAACTTTGTTATTTTTAATTACATTACCTAACAGAATACTCCATTGTACTGAATGCTCAGCAACACAGTAAATAATCATATGACCTATCTTTGAAATACTCATTTGTGCTTAATTGTTATTTGTTTACGATAATGTTTACCACTGAATATATCATTGCTTAGTTAATCTTAAGTTAATTTTAAGCCTGCCCATAATGCTCTGCATATTAGGGGCTTTGCCATGTTACACTTAACCACTGTATTTCTTTGTACTTTATGTATCATGTTTAAATTAATAAATAAATAAAAAAGGTTTCTTCTGCCGATAATTGCAAGAGTTCTTCCTCTTCTCTGACTTGTTTCAGTCGGCACAGAAGTTCCTCGTCTCCAGGACTTAATACTTACAAATAACTCACTTTACCTTATTCCTATTATTATTATTATTATATAAAAAAAAGAAGCGCTAAATACCTTATTCCTAGTATATCTCCTTTTATCAGTTATTACAAGGACCCCAATGGAAATAAGACACTTTGTCTGACTTTTTTGGTAATTTACACACATGTTGCTATGTATGATAATTTATGTGACTTTATGTGTATCTGAAAAAACTTAACTTATATCTTTTTTTTCTTCTTTGTTGGGTTTATCAGGGCCACTGACAACATACGCTGTATGGAGACCGCCTTCCCAATGTTGGGGGAGATTTGTTGCCAACAAAAGTTCCTTTGTAAACAGAGACATAAAACTTTAAGTTTCCGATTAGATCCGGTGGACCACCTTGCCAAGTCCCAGCAGAGCGGGACGCACACACACCCCCACCTGAGTTCAGTAACCAGCTTCCCACCAAAGACCGTTAAAGAATTATCCACAGAGCGGAAAAAAATGGAGCTGGCTCAAGTAACCCGATGAACAGGTGTCCATCCTGTAGAGTGCCCGGCGGGCAGAATAGATGAGGACAAGCGTCCCAGAGAGAACGGTGGAAATTTGTCACTGATACACAGGCGAGAGACAGACGTCCACACTCGATGAAGGCTGACGCAGAAGTCTAATACACGAGTTCAATTTCCACTATTTTTCTCTTTTGTTGGGTAGGGAGTCACTGAAGCTCTCGCCGTATCGAGCCCTGCTTGTACAAGGAAGCGCTAAGCCCATAGTGGTCACACAACGCTGCGTACAAGAAAGAAGTATTGCCCAAAATTTGGTGAGGAAAGGAACAAGAATATGCACTCACTTTGCAAATTCAGACAGGAATACAAAAGTTCCTAATTATGTCAGGAAGATTCCCTTTGCTTAAGCCCCAGAGTGGGAAACCTACACCCTCGCATAAATTCGGTAATTTATTCCCACCAAGACCAATAAATTTCCTCCGAGCATTAAAGTGGAAGTGATAAATGGCGCCCTTTTCTTGATGTGCCCAACAGGCAGAATAAAATAAGGACAAGCCTTTCATAGAGAACAGGGTAGATATTTGTCACTGATGCTCAAACGAGAGCGAGACGTCCTCACACCAAAGCTGTTGCAGAAGTCCACTTAATATCAACTTTCGCTTTTGTTGAGGTTTATTGAGCGCCACCATAGTTAACACCTTATTGAGCTTTACTTCCCAGTTTCTTGGGAAGGAATAGTACTCAAAGTTTGGCGGGAATTTGGGGATAGGAAATTCCTTCAGGAATAGAAACGGTAACCAAATTTCCCATTAGACACTGACTGCGACAGTGTGTTCTGAAGTATGGAGCTTCTGACAGTGTAACGAGCAAGGTAGGCACTGAAGTGAGGAAGCCCCCAATTAAATACTTTTCTTTTCTCAGGATTTGTAGGGTCATCAGAGCAAATGGTTTATTCTTGTTGGTGGTTTATAGGGGACAGAAATTCTCATTGGGAAAATGAATGAAAACAAATAGTTCCTAATAAATCACATGGTCGTGGTTCAACTGGTAACGGTCTCAGCTCACTTAAAAAGCCGAGGAATCGAGATTCGATCCATGGACGAGTGGAAAGATAAGATTTGTTCGGATTTTTAACCCTGACGGTTAGCTACCTAGGATACCCTAAAAAAAGTCAATGCGTCATCGAGGACTGTCTCTCTTATTTCCATTGGAGTCCTTCAGTCTTGTCCGCCAGGATTGCGACCCACACTGTGGAAAATACTATATATATTTTCCGGAAATACGGTAATTTATAGGTAAATAGATGCCCTATATTGTATTTTTAAAAGAAGTATGTTATCGAAAATGGGAAACCTGCGGCTGGGGAGGAGAGTCGCCATTTTGTTTGAATTGAATAACACGTTGTGAATAATGGGAAGAATTTTTCGTGCTTTAGAGGTTAAAATCGGGCTGACACCTCTCAAATGGGAGGCGAAATTGATGGATGTGCATTCCTGCATAATTTGAGAATCAGGCAACAGGACAGGACAACTCCAGGAACCTAAGATAAGCTGTCTAAATTATGTTTAATTTCTGGCCAGTAAATTCTTCATAAATGTAGGCAAAAGGGGGGGGGTCCTGTACATGACACGTTAACCTCCAGTCAAATTGGTGAGTGTTATCATTAAGATATATTCTCCTGTTGTATAAATGTGTACATATATATGTGGAAAATACTGTATATATTTTCCGGAAATACGGTAATTTATAGGTAAATAGATGCCCTATATTGTATTTTTAAAAGAAGTATGTTATCAAAAAAAGTAGAGACACTCGCCATCTTGGTTTTCAATTTTGTACAAACGTTGGTGTACTGGGAAGAATTTTTCGTGCTCTAGAGGTTAAGATTGTGTTGACACCTCTCAAATAGGAGGCGAAATTGGTGGATGTGCATTCCTGCATAACTTGAGATATCAGACGACTGGACAAGACAGCTCCAGGAACCTCAGATAAGCTCTCTAGATTTTTGTGTAATTCTGGCCAGCATTATTTTCATAGATTTAGTTAGAGTGAGGTTTTCTGAGTATGATACACATTAATCTCCAGTCAAATTGGTGAGTGATATTAAGATATATTTTCCTTCTGTTATGTAATTGTGTATATATATAACATTTATTATTTTTAATATACAGTCCACAAATTTATATATTTACCAGTATTCCTGGTGATGTATATTTCATTTAATTAATAGGTCCAGAGTAACTTGTGGATATGACAGTGGTAGGTATCGAAGGGGGACATTTTTTGCGACCTAGGTGTCCCAAATTCCTACTTGTCTATGTAACATTGATAAATAATAATTATCTTTGTTATCATTTACTGTTATGTACATAATTAGTTACATTCAGATAAATGCAATTTTCCACAACATATATATATATATATATATATATATATATATATATATATATATATATATATATATATATATATATATATATATATAAAATATATTATATATAAATATATATATATATATATATATATATATATATATATATACTATATATATATATATATATATATATATATATATATATATCAAATTTGTAGATGTTATTAGCTTTGTCAGCATCAGTGTTAACAACTCTGCTATTGTAACCTCACTTTCTATTTTGCTAACAGTAATTTTCTTTCTTGTAGGTAGTAGGTTGGTAGATAGCAACCACCTTGGGAGGTACTACCGTCCTGCCAAGTGAGTGTAAAACGAAAGCCTGTAATTGTTTTACATGATGGTAGGATTGCTGGTGTCCTTTTTTCTGTCTCATAAACATGCAAGATTTCAGGTACATCTTGCTACTTCTACTTACACTTAGGTCACACTACACATACATGTACAAGCATGTATATACACACCCCTCTGGGTTTTCTGCTATTTTCTTTCTAGTTCTTATTCTTGCTTATTTCCTCTTATCTCCATGGGGAAGTGGAACAGAATTTTTCTTCTGTAAGCCATGCGTGTTGTAAGAGGCAACTAAAATGCTGGGAGCAAGAGGCTAGTAACCACTTCTCCTGTATAAATTACTAAATTTAAAAAGAGAAACTTCTGTTTTTCTTTTTGGGCCACCCTGCCTTGGTGGGATACGGCCAGTTTTGTTGAAAGAATATATATATTATAAAATATATATTTTATTATAAAATATATATATAATATATTTAAATATATATATAAAATATATTTTATATATATATATTTTAATATATTTTATATATTATATTTATTATTTTTTTATTATCACACTGGCCGATTCCCACCAAGGCAGGGTGGCCCGAAAAAAAAAAACTTTCACCATCATTCACTCCATCACTGTCTTGCCAAAAGGTGCTTTACACTACAGTTTTTAAACTGCAACATTAAAAACCCCTCCTTCAGAGTGCAGGCACTGAAACTTCCCATCTCCAGGACTCAAGTCCGGCCTGCCGGTTTCCCTGAACCCCTTCATAAATTTACTTTGCTCACACTCCAACAGCACGTAAAAGTATTAAAAACCATTTGTCTCCATTCACTCCTATCAAACACGCTCACGCATGCCTGCTGGAAGTCCAAGCCCCTCGCACACAAAACCTCCTTTACCCCCTCCCTCCAACCTTTCCTAGGCCGACCCCACCCCGCCTTCCTTCCACTACAGACTGATACACTCTTGAAGTCATTCTGTTTCGCTCCATTCTCTCTACTGCCCCGAACCACCTCAACAACCCTTCCTCAGCCCTCGGGACAACAGTTTTGGTAATCTCGCACCTCCTCCTAACTTCCAAACTACGAATTCTCTGCATTAATTCACACCACACATTGCCCTCAGACATGACATCTCCACTGCCTCCAGCCTTCTCCTCGCTGCAACATTCATCACCCATGCTTCACACCCATATAAGAGCGTTGGTAAAACTATACTCTCGTACATTCCCCTCTTTGCCTCCAAGGACAAAGTTCTTTGTCTCCACAGACTCCTAAGTGCACCACTCACCCTTTTCCCCTCATCAATTCTATGATTCACCTCATCTTTCTAGACCCATCCGCTGAAACGTCCACTCCCAAATATCTGAATACATTCACCTCCTCCATACTCTCTCCCTCCTGATAGGATTGTTGAAATTAACACTGTGCTCGGTATTAGAATGTTGAGAAACGAACCAGACACTGTCACAGTGAATCTTACCAAGTGTCTAGAGGTAAATACACACAGATCTAAATGGATTGTGAAAACGTGCAATTGCATTAAGTTTTATAACCTGCATGAACTGTATCACTGTAGGCAACAAGAGCATTTCACCCCTCCATGGAAGATGTGTTCATTTAATATCACATACCTACAAGTCCCTCCAAGAAGCTCATTGCTAGTAATCCCTTCCTTAAAAACTCTTGTTAGAGCAACTGCTCAAGAAGAAATTTTTCGCCTAGCTGGTAGTAATAAGTTATCACAAGTTATATACACTGATGGATCTAAACAGGAGTCTTCTGGCAGGGCCCGATCTGCTCTTTTGCCACCTCCCTAGTTAAGAAAAGATAATAAATTTGTTTTATTAGGCATAAGAATTAACAACTGGGCCTACACTGCAAACGAATTGTTTGCAATCCTAATGGCCCCTAAAGCTAACCTATGACACTGAGCTTGACTCTTCATCATTAACTGATTCTATGTCATCATTGAAGGCTCTTGGGTCATATAATGACTCCAACAACATGCTCATTGGGGAAGCCAGGTATAGATACTCAAAAATTAGGGACAAAGGAATTAATGTACAATTGCTATGGATCCCATCACACATTGGATTACTCCTTCATGATAAAGTTGATATGTTAGCCAAGAAGAGTATCCAGAAGGAGAACGTAGAATATAACTTTGGTATAACTGTGTCTAGCATTAGGAATAATATTAGGAGAGAAGTAAATAATGAAGATGATTGTTATAGAATGCAGTTAGAAGCCTGAGTAGATCTATAACCCACTATGATAACATGAACGTAGATAAGTATGTTTATGGAGAACCTTGCAATGTGAACAGACTGACTGATGTTGTAGTGGCCAGGCTTAGGCTTGGTTACAAGTACTTCTGGCAGTTTGGGAGACACACAGATGATGATCAAACTAAATGTAAATTATGTGATCAGGCATATGGTCACTCTCTTGAACACTA